TCTAAGAAATAGGATCGTTCCTTGTTCCTGTGGTGCTGACACAATAGAAATGGGGCTTCTTAGAACAAGGAAAAGGTTCCTCCAGCCTAAAAACACATATTTTGATTGTGGGGTTATTCACCATTTTTAGACATTTTATTGACCAAACAATAACTAATTGAATAGAATAAATAACTTAAAATATTTGACAAATTGATAATAAAGCCAATTGCTAGCTGCAGCCCTAATGACATGAGATGACATAACATAACATGTATGCTATCCCAGCCTGCAATGGATGAAATGCTTTACCTATTCAGTTGCTCCTATGGCTGAGTTGCGGTTCAGGCAGTTACATGCGGTTAGCTGGCCTGTGCTGTGTCTGACACATGTGGGTGTTTGTGAGCCGTGTGGCAGAAATGAGACTAAAAGCAGACAGCCTTCAGACCGAGCAGATAGAAGACAAATGTCAAATGATGACGATGGTCTCTGGTTTTATGATGTTGTCTCTCTTACACATATTCAGTTGCTTTATTGTCCCTATACTCCTCACAATGTCTCCTAATGATAGATCAGTGAGTCAAATTACACAACAAGAAAAGTAATAACTTTCTTTACTTTCCTCTAATGCCACCAGAAGGTAAAAGCCATCACTTATCCAGTGAAATATATCAACATCCACTTGATGACAAATGGTGCGCTCACACCAAATTTTCGCGTTGCGTTACTCGTGGGAGTTTACTCGCTTGATCATTTGTGTTTATGCGCTTAATTCGCGCTAGATGTGCCAGAGAGGAGGAGTGGCTTATCTCCATGGAAACCGCCTTAACTTTCATTTATTTCCGCCATCAACCATGGAAGAAATAACCAGTATGTCTGCTTTGTACATTGTGCTTTGTGGAAGTCCCACAAACGTCAGAACATCAAACGCCTTCATGTCTGGGTTCATAATCTCATCCGTAGGCGCACACAGCTCGGTGAATTTCACCAACTCCTCCAGGACCTGCGCCTGGATGACTGCTGCTTCCAGCGCTACTTGAGGCTGACCAGTAGCCAGTTTGATGACCTGTTTGCTCGGATCGGTGCCAGGATTTCTCAGTTGGACACCAACTATAGGCGTTTCGTATCAGCTGCGGAGCGCCTGTCCATCTGTCTCTGGTGAGTGGCAGTTTCATAAAATGAATTCATGCTTTGTCTGGGTTTTTTTTTTTGTCTAGGACAGGGGGGTTTATAAAAGGCATCTGACCATGAGGACAAACCATGGCCAAGTTGCAGCAGTGGGTTTCCCACTCACTACCTCTCCTGAACCTGTCCTAAGGCAGAGGACATCAATCAAGACAGTTAACAAAAAGAACAGCAGCACAATAAATGTCAGCAAATGTGTCTTTTAACTTCTAACACATATGCACATACTCTATAATTCTTCTTCAGGATGTCCCTTTTTTTTTCTTTTTTTTTTGCCTGCAAGGGACTCACCCTCCCCTCCAGGCACATTTTCTCCAAAATTGTCCTAATATCATTGACAAAATTATGAAAAGTTAACACAAGTATGCACAGCAGCAGAATACACACATATAAATCATTTGCATTGATGTCTTATTTTCAATTTAAAAAAGAAAAAGGTGACAACTGTCATCTCTGTGACAACAACAATAACAAATCAGAAGTGTATTGTCCTCTCTACTGGTTGTCTTATTAGTAAAGGCTTTGTATAGGATGAGAGCTATGGATGGTCAAATGGAGATATTACAAATGGACTTACTGCCAAGCAATGCTTGCAGAATGTTTGGCCCCGGTGAAGAGGCCATCGTTCTCCCCCCTCAGCTTGATAAACTGAGCCGTTTGCTCCTGGCTCTCTATAACAAAACAAAATGTAGAGTTAGTTTTGCTTCACACCACAAAACTGAATTAGCAAAATACTCAAATTCAGTTTATTTGTGTAGTTAATCTCAACGTTTGTAACGTTACCGGACTTAAAGTGATATTTCAGGTTCACAACCTGTCTACCTGAGCTCACGTTGGTCCGTTTATGGACATAATATGAAGTATAAATCATCTGTAAAATCGTCACAACCTCAGTAAGATATTAGTCAAACTCTGAGGTAATGTTAGCTAGCTTGTCAGCTACCAACGTCACGAAACTTAACCGATCATTTTAACAAAGGTGATTTTATAAGGTTGCTTATTTTGTTTGAACATTTGTATCGGTGATATTCGAGTGAGTTGAAACCAAATACTTACATTTAAAAGTGAATGATGCCGCTTCTCCGGCTCCCGCTTCACTCGCCATGTTGAATAAAATAAAATCTTCATCGGCACGCAATGCATCTTGGGATATGTTGGGGCCGTGGAGGATACATCAGTTGTGTCCTCTGAATCTGGGAGCTGAAGGCTGCATTCGTCGGCTGCATTTGAAGGAGTCTTCGAAGTCTTAGTCGCAGCTGCTGTGACGCAACCGGTCTACAAATGCAGCCTCCGAAGGATGCAGCCGCTGAATTGAGACACAGCTAGTGTCGATCCTGCCTTCCGGTGTCGGTCCACGGGAAACCACACTGTCGATCCTGCCATCTGTCTGATTCCTTTCTTGTGGTTGCTATTGGATCCTGTCCTGAACTCCCGTGACACATTTAGAACCATTGCAAACAGCTTCCGTGTTGGGGTCTCCACTGTCTCCAATATTGTCCCAGATGTTGCCACAGCTATTTGGGAGTGCGTTGTGGATGAGTTCATGGCTGTGCCCACCACAGAGGAGTGGAGGTTAATTGCTGTGAAGTTTGAGGAGTGTTTTCCTCTCTGCTGTGGAGCATTGGATGGAAAGCATGTTGTCCTCAAAGCCCCTGCTAATCCAGGATCCAACTAAGGGAACCTTCTCATTAGTTATCCTGGCAGTTGTGGATGCGCAATATTGTTTCCGGCTGATTGATGTCCAGCGATGGTGGGAGTCTGGCCAACTCAGCTTTTGGTCAAGCTCTAAAATCTGGCACCCTCCAACTACCTGCTTACCTGCCAGGACTTCAGCCACATGTCTTTGTTGCTATCGAGGCCTTTCCACTGAGAAAAAACCTCATGAGACCATTCCCCAGCTGCATCCTTCCAAGGGAGCGCCGCACCACTATATGCAACCAAGGGCTGAAATGCTAACAAAATGCCCGTTGCTAGCTAAAAACATCAGATTTAAGCATGTCAAAGGATTGGTTTCGTACCCTGTACCCTATGTACTGGGGTGCAGTTGATAACTAAATCATGGCTGATGATTAAAATGATGAAGTAAGCTGTTAGCAAGCTAATATTAGCTATGTGTTAGCATAAGTTACTTTAGTTAGCTAAGGCACTTGCAAACACGATACTGCTTGGCTTTATGATTTATCCACATTGCACTATAACACAAGTTGCATACTGTCTAAAATGTTTTCGCATAACTTTAGCGTTTTTCCATTCCTACTGCTGATACCTCACTTTTTGTCATCTTTAAGGCTCAGCTTTTCAGTTTAGGAGCTTATAAACTTAGTTCTGGGTTCTTTACCCAGTTGGTTGTGCATTCCACCACACAGCAGCTTTTAGTAATTTCTTCCGTTGGTTGCTAGCAGACGAAAGTGACAATGAGGCACCCTCACGCAAGACAAAGTCAATGGAGGGATGAATTGTTTTAATTAGCGGTACTATGTCAACAAATGAGTGCAACACGATGAGAGTCTGAAAATGTGCGCTGTTATTCCCAATATTTAAACAATATCTCGCCGGAACAACCACAAACACTTTTGATTTTTGATGACCCGTCTAACTAACTAGTTCTAGTTGAACATAACCCGGCCTAACAGAGCAGCTAGCATGGCTGCGGACTCTTAGTCTATTGTTGTCACAGCTCTTTTTAAATGTCCTTCTGTCTGTGTCCTCTCACAGATAGTGAATTAATCATGTTTGTAATATCATTTAATTATATGTTAGGGTGTCAGGAACAACAGATTAAAATCCTGAAGTGAGCAGGCTGCAATGCTTTAAGATGTTCCAGCATGTCACCATGGCCTCTCAGGCCATTCTCATGTCTTACACCTGTAAGTATAAATGATTCAAATACAGACAACAATTAATAAAGCATATTCAGTACCAGACATACAGCTGACAAAGTGATTTAAACTTAACAGGATGTAAAGGGTGCCCCTTATTTATCTGCTTCTGAACAGGAAGCTGACAGGGAGCTCCAAGCACGAGTGACTCGTCTTGCAGAGCTGCAACACACACACACACACACACACACACATATTTCAGTGGGCGTGAAGCCAAGACTGAAACTTACGCTGAAAAAACCCCAAGCAGCACAACTGCAATTTATCAGCTACAAGCCACGCATACAGTACATAGACAAAGACACATTTTAACAATTTTTAAATGTCCGCATAGAGAAGAACGATGCATGGACATAAATATTAAAGGTGCTGTAGAATACATTCACAAAATCATGGACGAGTGACACAATAGAAAAAATAGTAGGCCTACTCAGTTCCCAAGGTTATAAGTACTGTAGCAGCCGCCATATGGCTGCCAAAGATAGAAGAGAGATGGGGCATCCCAAGCCGAGACTGTCAAAAACAAGCAGTGTGCGCCTGTGACCCAGCTCTGAGATGGTATGTAAGGAGTGCTTGTTATTTGGTTAGTCAGATAAAGGCTTCCTCTATGCTACACAAAGATCTTTCTATTGCTCTTTAGAGCGTCTTAACCTTTCATCCAAATCTTAACTCCCCCCACAATAGCTCTGTAAAAACTGATAACTGACACAATTTCCCTCATGTTGAAAGATCATCAAAATGATCTTGGTGTTCCCCACAAGCACAGAAACACAAGAACACACACACTACTACACACACTGACATAAAAGTGTCTCTGTCGCTGTTTCATGCACACACACACCCAACAGGAAACAAAATTGGATTATGCAAAAGAACTGTGAAAAAAATAAATGTTTGAGTGAGAAGAGAGGAAGGTGTGAGAGGGAGGGAGGGAGTGTCAGAGGTAGGGAGGATTGATAGCAGGCTGAGACACAGAAACAGGAAGGTGAGAATGTGTGTGTGTGAGTGTGAAACGGCAGCCTAACGTCACACGACACACAGCCAAGTGTGCCGCTCACTTCTTCTGAGTTTTGTCCGTTTTGTTGCCTGTGAAAGGAGAGTGTTTGTGACATGCCTGAGGAGGAATATTAGCAACATCAACGCACAAAATGAATTTCCAACACAGGGCAGCACTGGATATATCCACCAGGAACCCTCAGGATGATTTTGAGATTCTGCAGAGGTTCGGAGGAGGAACTTACGGGGACGTTTACAAGGTCAGAGCCTCCAGCCGCTGCTTTTTAACTCCTGTGCTGCTGCTGACTGAGACAGAGACAGTGATTTATTTTAAGATGAAGTAGAAATGTAAGGCTGGATAAATTCATTGGTATGAAGGGGATGCTTGCCTCAGTGACTGCTGGCAAGTCAAGTGTGTCTTACTTCTGCCTACTTTACATGTTGCTCAGTTATCTGTTCTTCACTCTACAATACACACTTTACCACTGGTGGAGGAAGTGTTCAGGTCTTTCACTGAAGTATAAGTAACAATACTACGGTGTAAAATATATTTAAAAGTAAAAACACTCACACTCTAACGTGTTGATCACTTTAATGTTACAACTGGTAATGGTACACAATACTGCTTGGTAGTTTAATCGATAACAATACATTATCATTTATTCGTTCTAATTTCGTATTATTATATGTAGTGGAGTAGAAGTATAAAGTACCATCAAAATTGTACTTAAGTACAGACCTCGAGCAAATGTACATATATGTTAATATGTTTTTGTCGCACTCCCTGGGATTTGTTTGTTGAGTTTAGAAGTAAATATAGGTGTGATCGATATTAGTGACATTGGTTAAATGCAGGAGGAAGTGGTTTTACGAGAATCGAAAGTATTCATTTCAATAGCTCATGGTTGATTGTAATCAAACGTATTTAGAGTGTCGTTGAGCTTCTTCTGGTGCTAATTTCATATTTTCACTTGTTTAAGATTTTTTTTTTTTATGTCACTGATCAAGTGAGCTGCTGTAATGCGTAAGTCTATGATGGTGAATGAAAACTGACTTTTGGGGACATTACATTGACTGGAGACTTCCCCTATCCTAACCATAACGCTGCTACTTCCCTAATCCCAACCCTTCCATTAACCTTAACCTAACCCTACCTTACACTAACCTCAAACCAAGTCTTCACCCCATAATGTAATGATTTACATTGTGGGGATGTGCATTTGTCCCCATAAGAAAGGCGAGTCCCCGCAATGAGACTAAACGCAAGTCCCCGCAAGTCATTAAAACACACACGTAGTTGGTTAAAAAACAATGTCATTGTTTCTCTGACTGCAGCACCAAGATTAATAATACAGCAACGCTTTAATTGTGTCATTGCATTTATGCAGCATTTACCACACATCAAACATTCAACAGGAATATTTTATTTAATACCACTCTATTTTTGTCATGCACCATCACAGAACATTAGTTCCTTGTTGCTGAGCACAAACATCTAGTGAGCACAGTTGAACATCGAGTGTCAAAGTTAAAATATAAATATTATATGTGATCCAAATAAATTTCACATAACGAACGCATTCTCATTTTTAAATAGTGCTCAGTGTTGAAGTTATGTTTGCCCATAATCAGGGACAGTAAAGGGAACATGTGGCCACAGTGTTCTCAGGATTCTCTGGTACTTTCCACAACGATAGTCACACCTGAAACAATGATGTGTGGAAAAGGTGATGCAGGCTGTTAGAAATCATCAGTGTTTCCCTCCTTTCTACTGGCTGTGCTTGTGAATGACTCTACTTAATCAGTCACTGGCCAACAGACGTCCATTCACAGAACAGTAGTAAAGAGACATGAACAACAAAACAACCAAAGTTAGGACTCATTGATGGGAGTGTAACCCTGAGCATTAGCAGTGCAAAGCCAGCAGTGTTGGAACAGTTGTACAGTACATTTACTCAGGTACTGTACTTAAGTAACATTTTTAGATACTTGTACTTTACGTGACAATTTCCGTTTTATGCAACTTTATACTTCTACACCATAATGCAGCATGGTGATGGCCAAGACACAAGCATTGTGCCATGATACAGACGATGGCAGTGTAACAGTCACCAGGGCACTATGTCTTCATACGCAGCTGTAAATGGGACAAGGTGACACTGTATGTAAGTAATACGACAGAAAAAAAACACATCGAATAATGTCTTATTGTGGATCTTTAGTCTGATGGATTCATGGTCTATTTGAGAAATGAATGTCTTTCTTTTCTTTTTAAATTTCAAACCAAACGTTATTTAAAAGCACAAATCCAGATTTGAAATAGATTTAAGATTTGTGGTGACAGTCTTTTTAATTATGTACTATGATACTTGTGAAACTTAACATGGTACTATCCTGGTACCTACATTTATTGTCCTCTATTAATGAAATATCAACTCAGTACAACACTTTAGTTTAGGCCAGAATACCTAAAAAAACGAATGTTTGAATTTCCACCAGCATTAGCTCTACTGGGTCTAATGCTAACAGCATGCTAACACAATAATGCTGCTTTCCAGACAACTCGGAATTCGAAAATGTCCGACCTTACACCACTATATTTTCATTTCAGCTTTTTCATGTACGCTGAATATTGAATAAACATTGCATTAAGTAAGTTAACAACAATAGAGAGCTGAAGTCCCACCCCTTCTGATGGACCACCATGGGAATTTACTTTGGAAAGGACCATGTAGGGTAGTCAACGACGAGAGACAAATCATTTTTTGATCCCGTTTGAATTGTGACATAAACTACACATATGATGTTTGCCAATTTAAAACATTCTTTTGCACATCAAGACAGTTGAGTATAAGACTGTGAGAATACGTAATTAGAAAGACTACACACCTGAAGGTTGCGTAAGTGACGTCTCTCTATGAAGCTACGATGCATGTGTGTTTCCACTTGTGAACTCGGGGCAGATCCGTCTACCCCGACTTCAGGAAGCACCAGCTGTCTGACGTCAAACAACAACGGAGGGGCACATTGTAAATGTAAACTAAAAGGCAACGTTAAATAAATTTGCCTGTATTTAATTAAAATAATACCTACGCTAATATAGCAGAACCTGTCCTGCCTGTAAACTGTGAATATATGTTATGGTACGCATCTCTAAAAGTTATCTTCTCTGCACAAAGGTGATTCAGGAAAACGTTAAAAATGCCCAAAAGAAATGTGGAGTTGCTGCTGAGAGTTCAATTGTGTGTAAAAAAATATTCTGACCTCCGAGTTGTCTGTAACGCAGCACATTGACACTAATGTTAACCTGCAAGCATGCAGCTTGGGGCTGCTAACATGGCTGAATTATTTTAGTCTCATTCATTGGATAATACCATAGACTGTACATAAGAAGTGGACGCAGTCATCATGACGTCACCCATTGGTTTGTGGACTGCTGTTATGAAGGCGATTTCGCTGTCGCCATCTTGGATTACGGCCATCGCCATGTTGTTGTTTTTTGCAACCAATGAACAGAAGTGACCATATTTGGAATGCGGAGAAGTGACGTAGAGACGCCGTGGACGCCTCTGGTAGCGGCAGCGACCTGTCAATCACAGTAAGCCCGCCCTAAAGCATACTCCGCTTTATGGTCTGTGTGACTCTAAATGGACCATCATTTACTAAATGAACATCATGCTGTATTGAAGAAGACTATGAAACTATGTTTACAATGTTCACTGAGGTAATAAATCAAGTGAGAAGTAGAGTCATTTGAGACACTTCCGCATCGGCTTCACTTTGCAGAACCTGGATAATAATGTTGTTTAGGTGACGGCCTCTTAGACTGGTTAGTGATTATTTTAGGAAAATTTGGGGTTTGATTTAGTTACATTACTTCAGTGCTTAAAATCCCCATACTGAGCTGAGGTATTTATGTTAAGTATTTAAATCTTAATACAGTAACAGTGAGGTCATTGCTGTTTGCTGGTCATTGCTGATGTTACCCCCACATCTTAATAATTATTGATTTGTGGTATTTTATTATATCAGAGACATATTACAAACCAGTATGGCTGTTTTGGCAGAGTGGCGGTTTGCGGCACATCTCTGGATATTTTTGACAACTTTGGTGCGTTACAAAGTCACGCTACATGCTAATCTCTGCTGCGCTCAAACGGTTCCACAGTAAATGTTGCTGATGCAAAGCAGGTTATCTGTAGAGCGAGCACACTTCCTCTAAACGGGTCAGCCAACCCTGCTGTTCTGTTTTATAGAGAGTGAGAGGGAGATTTGCATAGTTGTTCTTCCTCAACATATGGACACACACACACACACACTCAGCCGCTCACAGATATGATCACACATGCACTTGCGCCCGAGTACATGTTTTCGCCTACGTGTGGCTACACTCATAGTTTAGCGGAGGTCAGTCTGCAAATGCAGCGCTTTTGCATCATCAGGAGCAGTGAGAAAGTAGGCCCTTTGCTTGTGTGTGTGTGTGTGTGTGTGTGTGTGTGGTAACTATGAAAGAGATCAGTGGTGGAATGCAAATAAGAACAGTAACTGAAGTGCTGTACTTGAGTACAAATTTGAGGTACTTGAGAACCATGTATTGTATGTGTTGACGTTGAAAGTTTGTAATAAATTGAGCAGTGTTCCTTTATGTGTTGAGAAAATCCTCCTACTTCTTCATCTAAATAAACTCTTTAAAAAGCCTCTTGGATCAGCTGGAAAATGCATCGTCACAAAGCTGAAAACAGGACTGTTGATCTGTTTAGAGATACGAGGTTCTCACAGGACAGAGACGCTACAAACATGTGATGATCTTATAGAATACGATGCATTGATGTAGATTAAACTAGACATCAGAAGATAGAGGAGTTAAAAACATTTACAGCAGTACAATGCAACATACACATGAATGCAGCAGTTATTAATCCAGACAATCACATTTTATCACTTTTATATAATAATAGGTTGGTAGCCGCTCCAGATACAAAATGCCGGTTTGAAATGGTGAAGCAGCTGGAAGCAGTTTTCATCCTTAAGTTGTAGAAGGAGGATCACAAGGATCAGTCAGAGGAGTAGACAGTCAGAGACAAGGATGTGGTAACTGCACTGAATTAGTCAGATTTGTTACGTACAACTGGCTGCATTTTTCTTTGGTTCATCCTAACCAGGCCATTTGAGCTACGGTGGCTTTAACTACTCAGGTTTATTTGTGAAAAAATGTGATGGAAATTGCATTTTGCTATGTGTGCAGGAAGCAAAAGGAAAG